GTTTAGGGTTGCAGTTCCCCACAGAATACTATACTAGATAGGCCCTTGGGATATTTCATATCGTCCCTTCTTGGGGTTTAAACGGATTGTATGTATGAATGTGTTTTCAGAAGGTTCTCAGGGCCATCCTGGTTGTCTAGGACGCAGAGTAAGCCCTAATAATCATAATTCCCTTTATTTAGGGCTTCGGTTGCCGGAACAGCCCCTTCAAAACAAAACGCCACCCCCCACCCCCCACCCCTTCTGATTCCTAGGGTACTCTTGGGTCTAGTAAAGTTTAATTCCCCCAAACCCTCAACCCTAAGGCCTAAACCCTAAACCCTCAACCCTAAACCCTAAACCCTAAACCCTAAACCCTAAACCCTAAACCCTAAACCCTAAACCCTAAACCCTAAACCCTAAACCCTAAACCCAAGGCCAATGGTGGTGATGGGTTTCAAGCTGTGGCTGGAGGGGAAGATGAAACCGACCGTCACGGCGAATTGAACCCTAAACTCTAAACCCCTGAAGGCGCCCTAAACCCGAAACCCGAATCCCGAATCCCGAAACCCTAACCCCGAAACCCTAAACCTAAACCCTAAACCCTAAACCCTTGACCCTTAACCCTTAACCCTTAGCCCTTAACCCTTAACCCTTAACCCTTAACCCTTACCCTAAGCCCTAAACCCTAAACCCTAAACCCTAAACCCTAAACCCTAAACCCTAAACCCTAAACCCGAAACCCTAAACCTTAAACCCTAAGCCCTAAGTAACCCTAAACCCTAACCCCTGAAGGCGCCAGCCAGCCGGACTCCGACGATGAGGTGGGGAGAAGGGCGCTGCATCGAGTACCTCCGAAGCTGCAACCTGCACTCATAAAATGCCATGCCAGGGTTTAGGGTTTAGGGTTTAGGGTTTAGGGTTTAGGGTTTAGGGTTTAGGGTTTAGGGTTTAGGGTTTAGGGTTTAGCTGTTCTTGTGATGATGATTATTGTCAACTAGTATGTCTATTTTGGGATGTTCCTCCTGATACTAACAGTCCTCAGTAGGGATTATAGTACCCTCGACTATAGTTCCTAATAAGGCCTGGTAGTATAAGGGGGAACATCCCAATGTTTGTTATTAGCATCGTTATGGTTATGTGCATTTTTGTTCTTGGAATTTCCATCTGTCAGTTTACGATTACCCGAAATAGTAGGATTCCCTTATTAAGGGACCCCGATAAGGTACCCCTAATTCCGGACGGAAACCCCCTTCTTATTGCCATTGTTCGTACGTTTGAAGTAGTATTCGTATCAGCCCTAAACCCTAAACTTCTAAACCCTAAACCCTAAACCCTAAACCCTCATGCTCTCGCAGCACGGCTGCAGTGTTTCACGTTGTAGATCGGGATCGACAAGTCGCCCTACGTGGCCCTGTACAAACCGGTTGCACTCGCAGTAGGACCTAGCACACATCTCAGCATTGAAGTCGGCAGCCGAGCTAGTGTTTAGGGTTTAGGTTTAGGGGTTGAGGGCTGAGGGTTTAGGGTTTAGGGTTTAGGATTCAGGGTTGAAGGTGCAATTTGTGTACAATCACTGCAGCATGCTTGCACACTCGTTGAGCGCCTTTGGAACAGTGCCAGGGCTCGACTGCTACTTCCTCGGAAGAAGGCACAGCCGGTTTGAGTCAACGTCAACCCCACAATCCCACAGCCTTGATCTAGGTATCGATTTGGGATAATTCTGAATGTGCCTTATTATTGTTTAATATGGAGCCCTAGTGATAAATAAATTTGGGGACTGTTGAAGGCGACACCTATTGATTGAATTCCTTGCAGTTCCTCATGACGATGGGTGAGAGGTAGTTATTCTGAGGAGCATGTGCAGCACCTCTTTCTTATTACACAAGGCATTTGTCCAGCCTCATGCTCCCCAGATGTGTTGCTGGGTCTCAGAACGCCATCTGGGTTTAGGGTTTGGGGTTTAGGGTTTAGGGTTTAGGGCTTAGGGCTTAGGGTTTAAAGTTTAGGGTTTAGGGTTTAGGGTTTAAGGGTTTACGTAGCCTATCCCCGAATGGCGTGAAGCGTACTGAACATACTTAAAGGTCACCTCAGCTCCTCGTGACTGCGGCGCATCAGCCCCACCTGGTGGAGCCGAGGCTCAGATTGGCCCGTAATCTTCTGATTCGCCCTCGCCTACAAGCTTTGAAGCCATGGCCCCCATGAAGGCAATGAAGGCCACGGGAGCTGCCAAGAGCATGAAGGTGATGAAGATGAAGGCGGTCCGCGCCATGCCGAAGAGTGGCATTGCCGCTCAGGTGGCCGAGAGCACGGGCTTGAAGAAGAGCGAGGTGACGCAGGTGCTGTCTTCCTTGGCTGACATCGGTGCCACGGAGGTGAAGAAGACGGGCAAGTTTGTCCTTCCCGGACTCTTCATGATCAAGACCCGCACAAAGGCAGCCACCAAGGCCGGCACGCGCGTTATGTTTGGCAAGGAAATGACAGTCAAGGCGCAGCCGGCAAAGACGGTGGTCAAGGCCTATCCGGTGAAGGCAGTGAAGGACCAGTTCTGAGCCGTGGCCTTTGAAGCCTTAGATTTTGAGATGAAAGCTGATGTAAGGGCTTGCTTTCACGGAGGATGTGCCTTGCTTTCGTGGTCGTTCATGGAGCGGGCCTTCTTCATATCTCTGCCAAAAGAGTGAGGTGTACAGATGTTCGGGGTGACTTGGGATTCGCTGAGAACCTACAGCCAAGAAGTGTGATCGCGTGCATGGGAGGTGGCTTCCAGCTGTTGCTCGTGGATCGTGTCATGTTTGCGGGTAGTTATTTAACAGCTGCTCGTGCCAGGAAGGCTCAGATTTGCCGGTAGTCGGTAGTGTCCTGTTCCCTCTCGCGTACAAGCTTTGAAGCCATGGCCCCCATGAAGGCAATGAAGGCCACGGGAGCTGCCAAGAGCATGAAGGTGATGAAGATGAAGGCGGTCCGCGCCATGCCGAAGAGTGGCATTGCCGCTCAGGTGGCCGAGAGCACGGGCTTGAAGAAGAGCGAGGTGACGCAGGTGCTGTCTTCCTTGGCTGACATCGGTGCCACGGAGGTGAAGAAGACGGGCAAGTTTGTCCTTCCCGGACTCTGCATGATCAAGACCCGCACAAAGGCAGCCACCAAGGCCGGCACGCGCGTTATGTTTGGCAAGGAAATGACAGTCAAGGCGCAGCCGGCAAAGACGGTGGTCAAGGCCTATCCGGTGAAGGCAGTGAAGGACCAGTTCTGAGCCGTGGCCTTTGAAGCCTTAGATTTTGAGATGAAAGCTGATGTAAGGGCTTGCTTTCACGGAGGATGTGCCTTGCTTTCGTGGTCGTTCATGGAGCGGGCCTTCTTCATATCTCTGCCAAAAGAGTGAGGTGTACAGATGTTCGGGGTGACTTGGGATTCGCTGAGAACCTACAGCCAAGAAGTGTGATCGCGTGCATGGGAGGTGGCTTCCAGCTGTTGCTCGTGGATCGTGTCATGTTTGCGGGTAGTTATTTAACAGCTGCTCGTGCCAGGAAGGCTCAGATTTGCCGGTAGTCGGTAGTGTCCTGTTCCCTCTCGCGTACAAGCTTTGAAGCCATGGCCCCCATGAAGGCAATGAAGGCCACGGGAGCTGCCAAGAGCATGAAGGTGATGAAGATGAAGGCGGTCCGCGCCATGCCGAAGAGTGGCATTGCCGCTCAGGTGGCCGAGAGCACGGGCTTGAAGAAGAGCGAGGTGACGCAGGTGCTGTCTTCCTTGGCTGACATCGGTGCCACGGAGGTGAAGAAGACGGGCAAGTTTGTCCTTCCCGGACTCTTCATGATCAAGACCCGCACAAAGGCAGCCACCAAGGCCGGCACGCGCGTTATGTTTGGCAAGGAAATGACAGTCAAGGCGCAGCCGGCAAAGACGGTGGTCAAGGCCTATCCGGTGAAGGCAGTGAAGGACCAGTTCTGAGCCGTGGCACATGAAATCTGAAGCCTTCGATGTTCGAGCAGGTTTTGAGATGAAAAGCTCAGGCCTTGTACACACAGAGGTCGGAGCTTGCTTTGCATGAGGATGGGCCTAGCTTTCGTGGTCGTTCATGGAGCGGGCCTTCTTCATATCTCTGCCAAAAGAGTGAGGTGTACAGATGTTCGGGGTGACTTGGGATTCGCTGAGAACCTACAGCCAAGAAGTGTGATCGCGTGCATGGGAGGTGGCTTCCAGCTGTTGCTCGTGGATCGTGTCATGTTTGCGGGTAGTTATTTAACAGCTGCTCGTGCCAGGAAGGCTCAGATTTGCCGGTAGTCGGTAGTGTCCTGTTCCCTCTCGCGTACAAGCTTTGAAGCCATGGCCCCCATGAAGGCAATGAAGGCCACGGGAGCTGCCAAGAGCATGAAGGTGATGAAGATGAAGGCGGTCCGCGCCATGCCGAAGAGTGGCATTGCCGCTCAGGTGGCCGAGAGCACGGGCTTGAAGAAGAGCGAGGTGACGCAGGTGCTGTCTTCCTTGGCTGACATCGGTGCCACGGAGGTGAAGAAGACGGGCAAGTTTGTCCTTCCCGGACTCTTCATGATCAAGACCCGCACAAAGGCAGCCACCAAGGCCGGCACGCGCGTTATGTTTGGCAAGGAAATGACAGTCAAGGCGCAGCCGGCAAAGACGGTGGTCAAGGCCTATCCGGTGAAGGCAGTGAAGGACCAGTTCTGAGCCGTGGCCTTTGAAGCCTTAGATTTTGAGATGAAAGCTGATGTAAGGGCTTGCTTTCACGGAGGATGTGCCTTGCTTTCGTGGTCGTTCATGGAGCGGGCCTTCTTCATATCTCTGCCAAAAGAGTGAGGTGTACAGATGTTCGGGGTGACTTGGGATTCGCTGAGAACCTACAGCCAAGAAGTGTGATCGCGTGCATGGGAGGTGGCTTCCAGCTGTTGCTCGTGGATCGTGTCATGTTTGCGGGTAGTTATTTAACAGCTGCTCGTGCCAGGAAGGCTCAGATTTGCCGGTAGTCGGTAGTGTCCTGTTCCCTCTCGCGTACAAGCTTTGAAGCCATGGCCCCCATGAAGGCAATGAAGGCCACGGGAGCTGCCAAGAGCATGAAGGTGATGAAGATGAAGGCGGTCCGCGCCATGCCGAAGAGTGGCATTGCCGCTCAGGTGGCCGAGAGCACGGGCTTGAAGAAGAGCGAGGTGACGCAGGTGCTGTCTTCCTTGGCTGACATCGGTGCCACGGAGGTGAAGAAGACGGGCAAGTTTGTCCTTCCCGGACTCTTCATGATCAAGACCCGCACAAAGGCAGCCACCAAGGCCGGCACGCGCGTTATGTTTGGCAAGGAAATGACAGTCAAGGCGCAGCCGGCAAAGACGGTGGTCAAGGCCTATCCGGTGAAGGCAGTGAAGGACCAGTTCTGAGCCGTGGCACATGAAATCTGAAGCCTTCGATGTTCGAGCAGGTTTTGAGATGAAAAGCTCAGGCCTTGTACACACAGAGGTCGGAGCTTGCTTTGCATGAGGATGGGCCTAGCTTTCGTGGTCGTTCATGGAGCGAGCCTGCCTCATCACGTCCTCATCTCTGCAAGGGTGAGGGTGTACAGATGTTTTGCGTTGACGTAGGAGTCGCCGCAAGCCTTCAGTGAAGAAATGAAGGAATCAGCCTGCGTACAAGGGACCTTTCATCTTATTCCCCTATATGACTCCTATATAACCCTCATATAGTCCCTATCCCCTGACAAGCCCCCAAAGAAGCGCTGAGGTCTCAACCCTAAACTAAACCCGAAACCCTAAACCCTAGAACCCGAAAGAACCCCTGAGGTCCCTAGTTACTAGTAAGGGTCCCTCCTTGAGTCCCTTGTGTCAGGCAGCCAGGTTGCGGAGTCCGATGACGAGGCTGGGCGCGGAGTTGAGGGGGTTAGGGTTTAGGGTTTAGGGTAACTCCTAGGGTGTATCCCTAAACCTGAAACCATAAACCCTAGGGGTTTCGGGATTAGGGATTTAAGAATTTGTGTGCCCTGACCCTGAGGGTTTCTTTTGAGTGGGCCTTTTCTTGCTAGGCCGTTGGGACATGTCATACTTCCCTCTTATCCCTTACAAGCCCCGTTAAACCAACATGCGTACCCTTTTCGTTCCTAGCTTATGCTTGGGCCTAGGGTATGGGTGATATTTTCTTTCCCTAACCCTAACCATACAAAGTCTTAAGCCCGAAACCCTAAGGCTCTTCAGAGGCGATGGAGGTTTTTTCTCGTTTTTGTTGGGTTACAGGGTGGTGCATGGCAGCTTGGATTTTCAGCGCGAAGCGAGACACGAATGCAAAATCCATGATCAAAGGGTGAAAGGAGCGCCCTATACCCTAAACAATGGGAACCGGGAGAAGTGCCCTTTGATGCCAAACTTGCCTGGCCTTTTGATGGTGTGAGCTTGGGATGTTGCCCCCTTATACTAAACAGTTCTTAATCGGGATGATTATACAAGATCAATAATCCGTTTGAGCGAACACGCGCCAACTTAGCTTGTTTCATACTAAGGGCTTGGGGGAGTGCGATAAAGCCAAGTAATCATAGCAGAAAGTTGTGGGGGGGGGGCTTTTCGCTCATGCTGAAACACTCCATGAATCTCAGCACAACGTAGATACTACCTTGAAAGGTTTAACTCGGGATGCTCCCCTTTTACTAACAGTCCTTAATAGGGATCACCGTACCCCCCTTACAATAATCCCTTTTAAGGACCGTTGTCTACGAGGCAACATCCCAAAGGGTACCCTTGTCATATTTTGGGAAATTTCCCCAAAATAGGGGTGCCCCTTTAGACCCCTAATTGAATAGAATCCCTTTAAAGGGACCCCAAAAAGGGTACCCCTATTTTCGGAAACCCCCGTGTTGTGCCTGGGCTACCTAGAAGGGAAAGTTAACACCCCTAAACCCTAAAACCTAAAACCTAAACCCTAAACCCTAAACCCTAAACCCTGTGCAAGGGCGAAGGTTTTGAAACCTTCGACTGCTCGAAGTCCCCAAGCCCCTAAGCCCTATACCCCTACATCCCTAAGCTGTTCATGGGTAGTGATAAGTAGGGCCATAAGCACCCTAAATAGGGTTACAAGTATATTTACCATACTTATAACCCTGCTTACAACTACCCATGAACCTCCTAGTAGTAGCCCTAAACCCTAAACCCTAAGCCCTAAACCCTTAACCCTGAGCCCAAAATTCTAAACCCTACGCCCTAAACCATAGCGCCCGGACTCCCGAAGCTCGAGACAGGGCGGCGCAGGTGGTAGGCGAAGCTCCAGAGAGAGCGCGGGCTCTCAGTCTCCAGACGTCCTCGCCGAAGGTTTGGGGTCCCAAGTATAGGGTTTAGGGTTTAGGGTCTAGGGTTTAGGTTTTAGGGTATAGGGTTTAGGGTATCCTCCTCTTTTTCTATACTTGAGGGAAGCTTCTTCTGCAATGGAGCCTGCTCTGATGCTCCTCATCCCTAAACCTTACACCCGAAACTCTATAACCCTAAACCCTAATTGCACCCTAAACTTTGAAGCCCTAAATCCGAAATCCTAAACGTTGAAACCCTAAACCCTAAACCCTAAACCCTAAACCCTAAACCCTAAACCCTAAACCCTAAACCCTAAACCCTAAACCGGACTTCTCAGGTGAAGTGTGGAAGCCGGCGATGCCCCGGAAGCATATCCCCCAGGTGCTGAGCATCAAGCGCAAGGTGGGGTGGGGGGGTGCCTCAAGCGTCAACCCTAAACCCTAGCCCTAAACCCTAAACCCTAAACCCTAAACCCTAAACCCTAAACCCTAAACCCTAAACACCCAAACCCTACACCCTAGGCAGCAAGAAGCCCTCAACCCTGAACCCTATCCCCCATGCAGGCCACCTAAGCATCCCATGAAGGGCTTTACAGCATCGCCCAGTAGTACCCTTTCCTTGTTTTTGGGTTCCGGGTTCCGCTCTCAAAGCAACCAACCCCAGAGACTCCAACACTCCTTAACTGAGGAATAGGGTTTAGGGTTTAGGGTTTAGGGTTTAGGGTAACAGCTTAACGCTTGAACGCCCGAAACCAGGTGGAGGACCTGCCGGACATCAACACGCTCTACGAGCCCCGAGAGCTAGCGCAGCTCTTTGAGCCTCGGATGCTATTCAGCCGATGGTTTAGGGCCTAGGGTTTAGGGTTTAGGGTTTAGGGTTTAGGGTTTAGGGTTTAGGGTTTAGGGTTTAGGGCCGAGGGCTTCGGGTTTATAAGGCTTAGGATTTGGCATGTAAGGTGGATATTCAGGGAAGAACCCGAATCCACTGTCGGGATATGTTGTGATTTCCCTCCTGGTCCTTTCTGCTGTGGATGCTGGACATAAGGTTGGGGGGGGGGGGGGGGGGGGGGCATTTCGTTGTCTGCAGGCTTTGTAGGTCTTACAGGGATGCGGTTTATGGGGCCGTACTAGCCCTAAACCCTAAACCCTAAACCCCTAAACGCTAAACCCTAAGCCCTAAGCCCTAAACCCTAAACCCTAAACTCCCTAACCCTAAACCCTAAAGGCAGGTAATCCGTTTGAGTATATTTTGTTTTCCCTTGTTGGGTGCAATTACAAACCCTACACAAACCCTAAGCCCTAGGCCCTAAGGCCTAAGCCTCGGCAGGGTTTAGGGTTTAGGGTTCAGGGTTTAGGGTTTAGGGTTTAGGGTTCAGGGTTGAGGTTTTCAGGTTTGGGGTTTAGGGTTTACGGATGCTTTTCAGGGTTTGGGGAGTTCTGGGTTTGCTTTCTCAGAAACTAGGTTCAAACTCTCAGGTATCCTAGGATTCAGTTTTCCCAAGGCAAAACCTAACCCTACAAACCCTAACCAGGCTGCTGGGAAAGCTTGAACAAGCCCTGAACCCTAAACCCTAACCCCTGTTCAGATTCACCACGCACCCGCCCCGCAAGAAGCTAGGGTTTCGTGTTTAGGGTTCAGGGTTTAGGGTTTAGGGTTTATGTGTTAAGATCCTAAACCCTAAACCTACACCCCAAACCCTAAACCCTAGACCCTAAGGGGTTGTTCTGCATTAGGGTCCCCCCCCCCTTTCTAGGTATTCTTTAGGATTCGCAAGCGGATCGCTTATGACAATTCAGAACACCTTAAACAGTATATCCGAAGCCTTGATGATGCGTGGGAATGCTCTAAGTTATGGGCAACCTGTAAGTTTAGGGTTTAGGGTCTAGGGTCTAGGGTCTAGGGTCTAGGGTCTAGGGTCTAGGGTTTAGGGTTTGGGGTTTGGGGTTTGGGGTTTAGGGCCAAGGTTTAGGGCTGATGAGCTCCATCTCACAGCATGGGCCCTTTGCAAAGGTCTTTCCTTTCCGTGGAGGGGACGTAGCAGGCCCATGATCTCAGATCAAACAAAAAAAGCCCTGCATATTGAACCCCTAAACCCTAAATCCTAAACCGTAAGCCTTAGGGACGAGTGGCTATAGGACAGGGTTATAGTCAGGGTCACCTATGCTTATGCTTACGACCCTTTTCAGAGTACCTACAGCATCTTATCACATTACTCAAACCTACCCAAGGACCCTAAGCCTAACCCCATGAATCCTAAACCCTAAAACGCTACACCCCCAAACTCCTACACCCTAATCCCCTAAACCCTAAACCGCTCAGAAATGTGTGGACGCCTACGTCCACCTCGTCCTTCCCCCCGGTTCCGCCGTCGTGGCCTCGGAGCACTTGGGGCGAACGGGCAACTTCCGGCTTAGGGCTCAGGGATTTGAGGTTTAGGGTTTAGGGTTTGGGGTCTGGGGTCTCGGGTCTCGGGTCTAGGGTCTAGGGGTTATAGGGTTTAGGGTGTGGGGTTTAAGGCTTAGGGTTCGAGACTCAGCAGGGTTCAACGGGGTGTAGTAGTTGTAAGTAGACCCTACATTACAGCGTTGGTGCAAAAGTCCAGTTGCCATTGTCTGCAAACTCTAAACCCCAAACCAGCCACACGCATAACAGGAACATTTGGGAGGTTGTCAAAATTCTGGTCCCTAATTGGATCCCTACGACGGTAATACGGCACTTGAACGGCACTCGATATTTGGGGTACCCCAAAAGGCATCATAATTTTGACGACCACCCATTTGGAAGATTTCAACCCTAAACCCTAAATTCTAAACCCTAAACCCTAAACCCTACACCCTGCTAGTGGGCACTGTTGAGACCTTTGCTTTGCCTTTGCCTCTGATACAAGTCTCCCTTGGGTTTGATGCAGATGATGGGATCTGTGTTACCCCGAACATCCCTGGACGATTTTTAACGCTAGTCCCTCAACCCTCAACCCTCAACCCTCAACCCCAAACCCTAAAACCCTAAACCCTAAAACCCTAAACCCTAAAACCCTAAAACCCGAAAACCCTAAAACCCTAAAACCCTAAAACCCTAAAACCCTAAAACCCTAAAACCCTCAACCCTAAACC